TTCAATTTATGAATTTCACGTCATTTCACTATTTTCTTCGTTCTTTGTTGTATATTTCTTCAGAATCTCGTCTCTCTCTTTTCATGCTCTCGAAGCTCATTTCAGCTCGCGTCGTGAAATCGCTGTGCTGGGACTTGGCGATTTGCTAGATTAGAGAAACTCCGGAGAGACCTCTGACAAGTGGTGCACTTCGCATACAACTGCGTTTCGCGTCTTTTTTTCTCCTCTTATGAAATAACTGCTGTGAACGATGACTACACTGTGGTTAACATTAATTCTTTTACAAATATCATAGTACTATTCCTTGCATTTTTGTTCATTCCTCGCGACTTGGTTTATATTTCAGCCAATTTCTTCAATTTTTACTTTAACAAATTTGTTGTAGAATCTTAAAGATTCCCGTGTTTTCGTTACAAAAATTCTCTGACCTTCTTAGCAAGTGCTCCCTAAGCATCACTAACCCTTTTATGATTAGTGATGTTTACGTTGAAGACTGGAATATTTCAGATTTCTCAGTATGTAAACGTAAAAAATTTAGTTGGTATTTCAACTGCTCAGCTTCTCCCTCGATCAATAGCAGACGTATTGTAATCCTATTTTCTAACAGTAGACGACCTGGAATTAACGAACTTCAACCCTTCTGCGATTAAAAATTCATTAATTCGAGGTCGTCTGTTGTCAGAAAATAAGATTACAATCCATCAATTGCTATTGATCAAATACCAACTAAATTTTCCACGCTCCCTTACTAAAAGACCTAAAATATTCCAGTCCTCGACATCGTGAACGTCGTAAACTCGAGATAATCCGTTACCCTAACATTTCTTAAAACCCACCCGTGGAATCATGCTCGTGGAATCGATCCCGGTCGGGTCCAGAAACGGCCCAGCATTTCCGGTCCAGCCTGGCAATAAAAAGTTACGGCGTTCCCAGCGCGCACGTAAATTCGCAAGATGAATTTCCAGGGAAAACAGTTACTTGACATTCAGTGGCTCACGGTGAATTCAGCCGGGGCTCGGCTCCCGGAAGCGGCGCTTGTACGCGTTGAAAAGTTTATTCATAGCCCGGTCCCCGAGAAAAAGGTGGTCCGTCTCGGATTCGCCGCGGCTTTTTTTTTTCAAACCGGTCTGTGTTCCGCGCGCCGTGTGTCCTCTCTCCCTTTTACCAAACGCACCGTGAACCGTGCGAGTCCGCGAGAATCTCGAATTAAAAAGTGGGATTCAAACGTTCCCGCGACGCGGACGAGCTTCTTCTCTCAGGGCGGTATTGAATTCGAGAGGAAGAGTGGCGGAGTGAGCGGCAGGCAGGACGGAGGACATTGAGGGAATCTTCGTTTTTATCATCTCCAACCGCGAAAACTCCGCCGTGTAATTCACGTGCGACTGAATCTCTAGTGAGCATGGTTGGACGTGAACGTTAAGTAGGGACAATGAATGACAACTTGTGTCGCTTTTTGTTCCGACTCTGTGTGCGATGCAAGTTGTTTTCGCGAAAGCGTCGAGCCATGTTTGAAGACTTTTCAAACGGGGGTGGATCCTAGCACGTGTCTGATTGTAAGAGTGGAGGAGAAGTATGGAGAATGGATGGTTGTTATCGTTGAGACGAGCGAAGTGAGTGAAATGTTGGTGAAAATTGGTTATTTGAAACTACTATTGAGGTATTTCCTGCTTGAAAGAACGTAGTGTCTTTTTTTTTGTACATGCGAGTTTAATGTCGCGTTAACTGCAACATTTCTGAAAATTTGGACTTGCTGAAAATTGGTTATTTGAAACTACTATTGAGGTATTTCCTGCTTGAAAGAACGTAGTGTCTTTTTTTTTTGTACATGCGAGTTTAATGTCGCGTTAACTGCAACATTTCTGAAAATTTGGACTTGACCTCCGTAGACTCGCGTGGCGGTCCCAGAAACCGACGAAATCGGAATTCGCTTATTCTTTAGAAACAATTGACTCTCTCACCCTGCCCTTTCTCATTGTTGTAACGAATTACATGAAACTGTACGGTATAAATACCATATTCCGGTCATTTAAAAATCGGTGTGAGACCGACGTGAGACACTGTGCACTGGAAAATTACGCGAGTCCAGGAAGGTGAAGTGCTGAAATGCGAGCAACGCATGCCAAACTGTTAAAAAGACAAGTAAAGTGAGTTACAATTGAGACAGGTTTTCTGCCAACACTGAAATACGATACATTACCAAATTTGATGCTGTGGAATTTATCTGATCATTTCTAATAGCATTCTTTGTTTCTCAGAATAAGGAAATTCTGACTTACACCACTATGACTTTTAGAACTGTTGACTTACTTAACCCCTTGCACTACGCTGAACCTCGGAAAAAGCCAGGCCAAACCCGTCCGCCTGAATGGTCGCGAAGAGAGCCGAGTGGCGGAGCCCGAGTGTCGAAATTGACTGAGTGCAACATAGTCGCGCTACGAGCCACGAGTCAGACTCGTGATATTCATGTTTGGCCTAAAATTTTCATCACGAGTCTGACTCGTGATAATCAAGTTTGGCCTGAAATTTTCATCACGAGTCTGACTCGTAAAAATAGCGCAAGGGGTTAAAGAATACGTAAATTCGTTAATTGGTACATTTATCAGGATCTCCTTTTCTCTTCTTCGAATTTTGTTACATCGATCCTGCGATTACCAAACCGATTCGCACTTATTCGCAGAGACAGGGGTGTGCAAGTTTGTAAATGTAACAAAGTTAGTAAAGCTTCGATAATTTGCAAACGTTCTATCTTTATCGCCAGCAGCGGAACATTTACTTCCGCCCTTTTGCACGGTCCTGTGCACCATTGTATTCCTCACGCACAGAAAAAGATACACCGTCGCTTGGCGGTTTGTAGAAAATTTCATTTCGCTGTTGCAGTTGAACGACGCAAATAATGAACGCGTAAATAATTGATATCGCGGGAAGGAAAAATGTCGTTGATTATTCGCCCATTGAAGATTTATCAAAAGCGTTCAGTATTCATTCGTTAATCGAGCGGAATGTTTTTCGGCGGGGCGCGAAAATATGACGAGCAGATCGGTCGAAATTCAATTTTAAAAGCGTATCAAAATTTATGGGAATTCGCGCGATTAGAAGCGTGACACAATCGATTGGCTGTTATAATGCGCGTTAGATAAATTGAGAAACGATATTACCGAGCGGAAAATAATCGAAATGGAAATTGAAATGATTCGATACACGAATTGCAAAGGTCTACCAATTGATACTTTTTCAGGTAGTAATTTCTTTTTTCAAACTGGAGTGTTTTCGCATTTTCTATATTTCACCAATGCAACGCGACTAATGCAACATTTATACAACAGTAAATCGTGATAAATACGCAGTTAACGAATAATAAAAAATTTATAAAGTTTAATCGTCGATAAATTGAAAGGAATTTATTTGGATAAAATTGGCATGTTCACTTTAATCGCGTAAAATTGAAACATGGCGAAGGTTCGTGGCAGTTTTTAATGCATACTAAGTAGGTATAACGGCTGATAACGAAATAAGGACAAATATAACTAAAACTCTGTATATCTCACACTCGGCTCCCTAATGCTTTCAAAACTCTCTCCTCGTCTTTCTCTTTAGACTTTCGCTTTAAACTCTCCAAACTTTCTCACCAGCCGGTGTTCAACCTTAAGAAGATTTATTCTCGCACACACACTCGTCCCAACACCCACGTGAGCAATTTAGTCACACCGACTTGCCTACACATTTCCAGTATCTTTACTTTCAAAATATCTCATTAAGTCAGCCTATTCGTCATTCATAGATTATCTCAATCTACCAGCTACACATAATACCCTGGAATAGTTCTTACCGTAGTAAAATGTAATAACAATAGTTAACAAATATTTCAACCCTTTCTAATTTTGAAAAGTGCCTTTTGGTACACTTCCACCTTAATTTAGTACTTAATTTTATCCTTCACGCACTTCTATCGTACCATAATTTAGTAAACCGAATTTTAAAACGATACAAATTTTGCAGTCGTGGTTTAAAATTTAGTGTCATACCCGTTACGTATTAAAATCTGCCGCAGCGAAAGGGTTAATATGATAAAGCACACCGTTTGAACATCTGTTTCGAATTTGTGTAATTATTGATAGAAGTCTGTGGTTTTAAAGGGATTGTGAGCAAAATATCTACACTGTAACTCGTGTCTACTTGCCTGTCCATTTATTTTCAAGGTTTTTTGTGAATTTAAAGGGACCAAGTTATGAATGTAACTGGTGTAACGAAGAAAATAGGTTGGCAAATATTCACGAACGATAGTGTAACTTAATAAACCTCTTGAACCTCTTGATTAAACCAGCAAGCCTAGTTCACCTGAACTTTCTACGCCAAGCTGTTGCTAATTCCAATTTTCTAGAGTTATTTAGGACTACCAGTAAGTTGAAAATAATAGAGCGCGATATTTCGAAAATATTAATTCTCTAATATACAGGGTGGACTACGTGAAACAGGCCTAATTACATATCTTCTTTAGGTATCTTCGGTGGTACGAGAAAATTTTGATAATTCAAGTGATTTCAAAGGGTGAATTTTAAAATGTCCTTAGACTCTAAAATATTAAATCAACTATGAAATTTCCTTCGAAAAAATTCTTCTTCCATCTTATTCACCCCTTTGAAACCATGTAAAGTGCGTATGAAAATTTTCTCGTGCCACCAATAACCAAAGAAAATAATTAGGCGACCTGTGTTACATTTGTGTCTGAAGGTGTTACAATAAAATGAATATAGGAATAGGTAGAAATGTAGCTAGACACGAACAGAAGATCAATACAAACAGCACATCAAGTGACTGTCATCGTTAGCCCAGCTTGTATTTGCAATCAATATCGAATGGCTTGGTTTGCTTTCGAGGAACCAGATGAGCAACGAGTCGAACAACGTTGCACCGTAAGCAGCACTGAATAGAAGGCAATAATAGTAGGACGAATCGAAGATGCTTTTTAGCCAACGTAATTGACCGCCTTTCGTTTGTTTCAGTGCAACCTGCGTTCGTACGTGTTATCGACGAGAACACGAAGAACACGCTAAGCACCGGCGCCACTTTAGGACCTATAAACGAAGGTTCGATGATTTCCTTGTACTGCGAGAGCGGCGAAGGAAAGCCAGTGCCTACGGTCGAGTGGTTTAAAGGCGACCAACTATTGGAAGGTAAGATTTACGAGAGTTTCCGCTCTCGTTTTCTGAGGTTTCTCAGGTTTCCTGATTTTTCAATGGGCCCCTGAATAATCATCGCGCGAAGATTTATCAGTTGTGTAGTTCTGTTCTTCTGTACAGTTCCTTTCCTACGCTTTTCACACGTGTTTGTCACTATTTTACCAATCTTGATGAATGTATAATATTAGGTCGTCTCGTAACTTCGTATCGAATTTTATAATTTAGATCAATATTTCCAAGGGACCTTTAAATTTGATAAGAAAAACGTAAGCTTCTTCTTATTTTTTTCAGTGACACCATTATGTCGATGCTATAGAATTTCCTTCGATTTTCGTTCAAATATTTTCCAGTTTCGGCACGAACTTATGGGACAACCTTATACTCTTCCAATTCTTCTAACTGATCGTATAAAAATATTTCAAAATTAATTGGACCAATTTTCTGAACACCTCTCGGAGATAATGTGAAAATATACAGGATGAACCGCCTAACGTGATCACCTTAGATTATTCTATTATCAGTGGAACGATCGAATGTTTTTCTGTAATATGGTTCGAAGAGGTCTTTAAGATGATTCTGGTACATTCTTCAAAAGTTCATTTTTTACAAACTTTCCAAGATCATTTTCAATTTTCTATTCACCCTATATGCTCATATTCATATGCACACTAATACTTAACACGTGCATACTGCATCTAATATTTCATATACAGCACATCTACTCTAATTAAAGAAAAATGTCTAAAAATTCTAATTAGTTGATACACATCTAGCTTTACTCGCTGAAATAACTTCTTCATAGAAATACGAATAACACGCTTAGCTATAAAATTGAAATTAATCCTATTAATCTTCTCGCGCACAAGTTACATACCTAATCAAACTTATTTCTCCTTTCATCAAACATGAATTCAGTCGTTAGAGACACGATCTCACATTCGTCACACGTTCCTCTACAATAGAAACACCGACTCTTGCTCTCAATGTAGTTGCAAGCGCATCACACTTTACATCAAGCAAACTCCGAGGATCACGATACTGAATCCTAATCTCGAGATCATTGGACGGAAGTCTTGATCCGTGAAACATGATTCCTTTGTGATGTCTACATATGTATCTCACGACTGAAATGTAATCGGGTATCAAATTTGACGAAACAAGCAACCGCATATATGTAACGAAATTGATCATTTTATTCATCGAAAAGCTAAATGAACACTGTCTTGTACCACGAAGAGGGTTCTACTTAAGAAATTTCTATCCAGTCACCGAAGACTAAATTCTAAAACTTTTCTCAGTCGCAGCATACCGAATATTTACGTTTATCGCCTGCTCCATTTTTTCCTTCCTCGGCGTATTGTTCACAAACCGTGCAATTATTACGTGGCACGAACGTAACCGTTTTTCACATCAACGTCCTACAAAGAGCACCGTCGTAAACGTTCCTCCACAATCGTAACCGTACACTTCGAGATCACGCGCGTTTCCACCGAAAGGACGTAGAAATTTCTTCATTCGTAACGCGTAACCATGATTATATATTATTTATAATAACTTCTCATTTACAATTCTTCTCGTTTCAGTTAGATAATGCACGAATGAATTTCAATCTCCCGAACACGTAGACGGGTCTCGTTAGTTTGAAACTTTTATCGAGCAAAATTCCATTACACTCGCAGTCATAAAGAAATTTAATTACAAGTTACATAAAATTTTATTATCCACTGGCAGGAGCTATTACGATACTCGTATAGTACAGCGCAGAGACCTTCTGTATGTACAGTGAATTTCATTTGGAAATTTCGATGGAAAATTTTCATTTTCAATTCGACGCAAGTGCAAATATGAGTTTAACAATATCACAAAAAAAAAAAAAATCAGTAATGATACATTGAACAAAACGTTTAAATTGTTATTCAAAAACCTGAGGCTAAAAATCTAGCGCTTGCATAAATTAAAAATCGTCTGTATCCTTATCAACTCAAGAACGAAATTAACAAAAGGTTCCAAAGTTTTCTCTCATTCCAGAGTCTGCTCGAAATTAACGCAAAAGTTATCGTCTAAGATTTCAAAATTTTCTCTCGTTCCAGAGTGTACTCGAGGTTTAATAAAATATCTGTAAAAAACGTTCAGTTTCCAGGGTACGGGCACCAAAATTTTGATTGGTTATCGGAAACTTCGATTTTTTGGGAAGGGAATAACTTACGATGAAAGCTCACGCGCCGGCTAATCCCCTTGTTTTTGAAAAAATCACGCGCGTTCATATAGAACCGAGGGTTCGAGTGATACCGTAATAGAGAAAGTTAGAGAAATATCCGACAAAACGTAATCATTGTCACCTCGAAATACACATCGGTATCACTTGGAGAATTGCACGAAATCAACTGGAACGATCAAGCTTTCACGTAGCCTGCGGAAGCTCGATCTGAAAACATCTCTAAACGCGTTTGGACGCACGTGTTTCAGCGACCAGTTCGACGACGATAGCTGACAACGGGATAGGGAACGGGAGCAGCCTGCTGCAGATGCAAATCACACGCGACGAGCTGGATGCAACTTTCACGTGTAAAGTCAACAGTATAGCGCTCGTCGAACCCCTCACTGTCGACGTCAAGCTGGATGTACACGGTAAGTGTATGTGTGTGTGTGTGCAGCACGTGACTTTTCTGGTCCACGGTCAAACACCATTGTCTCCGAAAAGTGAATCACTCGTGGCGATAAGCGTTTCTTTATCGACGTCTCGATCGAACGAAGAGACCGAAATAATCCCTGCGAACTTGAACTCTCCTCGGAATCGAGTATTCATTTATCTGGACATCTCGCCGAGACTGCTGGAGTTTGGGAGAGGAAATCTCGAAAGGGTGTGAAAACCGATACCCTTGTGTTTTCCGAGACTTTCTTTTTTTCTTTCTAATGCTCGTGCGATTGTTTCGGATTAAATTGAATCGTTTTTTCGGAGGATAGCAGAGTTCTGGATATCTTAGAGTTGGATTTACAGATAAAGGTTCCTTTTTGCGTAGGTACAGTTTTGTGGGAAGAAGATGAGCAGAGGTGAAATTAGGGTTGGTAGTTTTCTTTCTCGCATCGACGTGGAATTCTGTCTAGAATTAAATTTAATGGCTTCGTTTGGAATTGAGTGAGCTTTTCTTTATAGTGGCCGATTAGTTTGAGAGTTTTTATTGATACACGTGAAATTTAGTTGTCTTAACTTCAGAAAATTTTTCTGTTTGAGAATTTAATAGCTTCAAGATTTATATTAGCTATTGAATATTAATTAATAACGAAGTGTTTAATTTAATTGTTCAAGTAATTATAATGATTAAATTAGGTATCCTTCCTTTTAATCGGTGATTAATTTCTGTTTACCTGAAACTTTTGTAATATCAACATTGATAAAATTAATTCCCATTTATTTTTTATCTGACATTTCAAATTTTACTCTTTCATTATTTCGTACAATTTTAGTAAGTAGAGTTGTTATTTCACTTAACATAAGAAACGATCTAAAATTATATAAAAATTAATCGATGGTCGCGTTTATTACGTACAGTTCTTTATTGCTGAAGGAACAGTGAGTATCTTGGAGAAAAATGAAGGTTAAGTTGTCGAAATCAACTATCCTCGTAGCTCGAGGTGTGAGAAGCTGTTCTAAAACGGGCACACGTGGTTCGAACAGGAAGATTAAGTTATAAATTGCGAATCCTACACTTTTAGTGCTGATAGGAACACCGAAGATTAATGTTTTTAGATACAGCGATACAGGAAATTTCAGCATGTGATCAATTTCAGTGGAAAGTTTCGAAAGTTAAGTATGATCTATGAATTACAAACGAAGTCAAAGGGAATCAACCGTCGGTAAATTATGATCTTGCTGGTTCTAGTCATAAATCACGCCGGGTCGTGACATTAAAAAAGTCTTTTTCCCTGCGTCGTTCGTTAAAACTAAGGTCGTTAAAATTCGTGTGAACTGTGTGTGCAGCCCTCCCTTTCGTATTTTCATTCAATTTTCCACTGGCTTTTCACCTTCTTTTTTTCCCTTCTATTTTCTGTCTTCCCCCTTTTTCCCCCGACAGTCAACATTGCGATTAAATTCGAGCATTTTACTCGAACAGCTGAGATTCCTTTTTTTTTTTTTTAATGGACCGTGAAAAATGACGCATCTTTCTAACTGTTCGGGTCGCGTAATGTTCGATGCTTAATTGCCGAACCGGTACGCGAGTTTAATCACACCTTGATTTATTCAGTGTGAAATGCTAAGAACTAGTTTTATTTGCAACAGAGTGATACTTGAGGTGATGTCGCCACGAGACTATCAAAATACTAATTTTCGTAAGACCAACTGCCAAGACTTCCAAAAAAGGACGCGCTTCTGCCTCGTTCCCTTAGTTTTATCCGCTCAGCCAGTTGCTGATTGGTGGCCGATTTCTTCTGGGGGTTGTAGATGGTGACTCCTCATTGGAGGAGGTTGTTTAGGTGGGACGCAGCTCTTTCCAAGGGAAGGGGATTGTTGCTTAACATTAGAAAACCCCCATTTTCGGGTTTTTCCACCGCGCATGTGACCTCTCCACGGAAGATACGGTACGCGCGTAATGAATTTCATTCAGAACGAACTATCCCTTAATACGATTCTCTCCAATTTATTTCTGTCGGTCTCCCACTTCTTCGTTTTCGTCCTTTTCAATTCGTGCTTCTCCACGTCTTCGTTTCCCTTGTATCTGTCGAGAAATTACCACTACTTCGCAATAGTAATCTGACCTAATTAAGAAACACACCCAATGGAATAATTTTCACAAGATCGACGCACACCTTGAAATATACATTCGCCAAATGGATATCTTTCTGGCCTAGAAAATTCTGCATTCGTTCTACTCAACTTTGCCCACATTGTTGCGAATTTGTGTCAAAGATACTCATCTTTAATTTCGGTGAAAGACAAGATACCGTTGCAGGTCTATCTAGTATCCAGATAGTATACAACATTGTAGGGTTAATATTAAGTACGAATCACTGGAGTACAGCAGATGTCTGATTTATATCAGTTCGTACTACTGGCTGTGCTTATTAAATCAGTAGCTGTACGGTTTGGGCCACTTTTCGACGATTATCTAAATCAAATATTAACACGTTCGTTATCACTGTTCTGTTGAAGCATCTCCTGCTATCGGGAAAACCGTGAATACTTTCTTTAAGAGATAAATTAGCGATTTTAACCCTCATCCGTCCCTCAGTTTCGCATCTTAATAGGTCCCTCGGTGTCAATTTGACACAATGGTAAACAATCAATTAAATGAAAAGATAAATAATTAATTTTGTAAATTCTTTTATTAAATACAGAAAATAAACAAAAAATCTTTTCTACAAATAACCGAATGATACAATTTTTTATCGGAAAGGTGTGTCAAGTTGACACGAGGGACGGACGAGGGTTAAGGAATGCGTCGAATTCAGCCCTTACACAGTGGAACACAGTGGAATTTACTTACCCATAAACAAACATCACTCGTTTAGTTTTAAGTTAGTTTCAACACCAAATTCTACTTGCAATCACGAATACGGTTCGAGAATTAAACCGCACAGCATCCCAGGAATAAAATATCCTTATTCTATTCCAAGATCCATTGTCCTCAAATTCGTATCGTAATTCGGTTCGTGCTAATTCCAAAAATGACATTTCACAAAGTAGCTCTTCAATTTCTGTAACCGAACGTCCAGAAAAATCCCCGAAACTAGCTCATTCCACCGAAATCGGCTATTCTCAAATTCTCACCGCGATTCCAATTGCATCGCTGAGTAACGATCGATTGCACCCCGTGCCTCGAAGTCGCGGAAAGATACGATCAAACAGGAGCAAGATTAAAGAACGAAGAACCAGCCGTATGCCTCGTAGATTAGAATAATTTATCGCGTCTGTGATACACGTTTCTCGCGTGTCCCGCCGGCCAAACAAATTGCCAACGCGGTATTGCGGAGGAAAACGACGAGACGGTGAGCCAGGAGTGTCTCGATCCAAAAAGTTTCCGTCCAGAGTCTTTCACGTCCGCGTGAACTTTCTCGGGTGTTATATCCGGCGCTGGTGCGACAGACACACCATGGTAGAAACACAGAAAACCGGCCGTAACGACGACTAGATTAAGAGTTAAAGTTACGAAAGGCTCGTTTCCTTCTCTCCTCCTCGTTTCGCGGCAGTTCCAACAGCTTTCGCGTCCCATCGTTTTCTCGTCAGATTCGAATAACGTTATCGCGGGAGAAAGAAATTTTGATTTATAACGGTATTAGGAATACGTTCTCTAGAGAGTTTTGCCCAAGTTCGGAGTATTTTATTGTTAGGCGTTCGGGAAATGGAGTTGGAGACCCGGTGTGTAGATCGTGGGGATGATAAAGGGAGAAGAAATGTGTGCGATTCTGATTAGAAATGACGAGTTTTAGCAGTTTAAGCTCTGTTCGTGGTTTTCACTGCGGCGGAACTTTAGGATAACAATCTTAGCTGGAATTAATTCAGTGTCTACCGAGGGGGAGTTCGAAAGTTATATTGATATTGTAATTATGAGACAGAAATATTGGAGAAGTGAGATATACGTACGTAGGATGGTATCTAATGTCTGCTGGTATATTGTAAATGTAGGAGGATACTCGTTTGTTTGTTTTAGAAAATAATTTTACTTGGTACGCTGAAATATAGATCACCCTTCGGTCAATAATTTTGCGAATTTATTTCGAAATTGAGGAATGTGATAATTTGGAAATTGAGAAATATAATAATATAAAAATTGGGAAATGTAATAAATGAAAAATTGAGAAATTTAATAATTTAAAAGTTCAGAAATTTCATATTTTAGAAATTGAGAAATATAATAAATTAGAAATTGAGAAATGTAATACATTAAAAAAAATTGTCACCAAATTACATATTACACATGACATTTTCCATAAGAACCAAAGACCTGGAATAGTAGATCTGAATCGTTACAAACCTAATTCATCCCTATCAACGCAACAAATCAAATTTCTTCTTTAACCCACGGTTCAATACTCCGGATCTCTCTTACAATTGACTTTTTCACCGTACGAATGTTTCTATTACCCGTTACAAACGTACCCTAGAGAATAACCTATTCAAATAGACCATTTCATCAAAGGAGGTAAAATATCCGGCTAGATAAATACGACGAGCCAGAAAATCGTTTGGATATCAAAGAAAACCCTGACTTACCAATTACAATCGTAAACAACGCGTCCTGTGTAATTTACTCTCTCAACTTAGACCAGTCTTCGCGACCACGGAGCTTTAATGAGTAAATAATTTGACTCTGATAATTATGGTGTCCGAGAGAGAGAGAGAGAGAGGAACACATACTTATACGTGGATGATATGCCCGTTCGTGTGTGCAAACGTGAGATGGACGTTCACTAGCTGCCTTGAAGGCAAATAAATCTGGACTTTGAGTCGTGGAAACTGGAAAGTTTGTCGTGTCCGGGGCAAAGCAATTCTCCTTTTACAAAGTGTCGGGGGGATTATCCTGACAGAAAGAACAGACAAGACGATGAAAGACTTTGACGCAGAGTATCGGATGTTCGGGGAAATCACGAATTGTCACGGGACCAACGCGTTCCTCTATCTTTGCCACGCA